ATAATACATAAGGGGGATATGATCTCCATGTATAATACATAAGGGGGATATTATCTCCATGTATAATACATAAGGGGGGATATGATCTCCATGTATTAATTACATAAGGGGGGGATAATGATCTCCATGTATAATACATAGGGGGATATGATCTCCATGTATAATACATAAGGGGGGATATGATCACCATGTATAATACATAAGGGGGGGATATGATCTCCATGTATAATACATAAGGGGGATATGATCTCCATGTATAATACATACCATGTATAATACATAAGGGGGTATGATCAACATGTATATTTGAGTGACGGTTGAAGAAGGTTACAGGAGGATTTCAAGATTGACAGTTGATGAGGGGACAGGAGAACTGAAGAGGGACAATTGAAGAGAAAGCTGTTGAGAAGGGAGTCAGGAGATTTCAGGAGTGACAGTTGAGAAGGGAGAAAAAATTCAGGCGTAACAGTTGAGGAGGGGGGCAGGAAAATTCAGCATTGACAGTTGAGGAGGGAGATAAAATTCAGGAGTGACAGTTGAGGAGGGGACAAGAGGATTGAGGAGTGACAGTTGAGGAGGGGACAGGAGAATTTAGGAGTGACCGTTGAGGAGGGGACAGGAGAATTCAGCAGTGACAGTTGAGAAAGGAGAACTCAGCAGTGACATTTGAGAAGGGAACAGGAGAATTGAGGAATGACTGTTGAGGAGGGGACAGAAGAATTCAGGAATGACAGTTGAGGAGAGGACAGGAAAATTGAGTGACGGTTGAAGAAGGTACAGGTGGATTTCAAGAGTGACGGTTGAGGAGGGGACAGGTGAATTTCAGGAGTCACGGTTGAGGAGGGGACCGGAGTATTGAGGAGTGACGGTTGAGGAGGGGACAGGATTGTTCAGGAGTGACGGTTGAGGAGGGGACAGGAGAATTAAGGAGTGACTGTTGAGGAGGGGATGGAAGAATTAAGGAGTGACGGTTGAGGAGAGGACGGGAGAATGCATGAGTGATGGTTGAGGGGGGATGGGAGATTTGAGGAGTGATGGTTGAGGAGGGAACGAGTGGACTGAGGAGTGACAGTTGAGGAGGGGACAGGAGAATTGAGGAGTGATGGTTGAGGAGGGGACGGGAGAATTGAGGAGTGATGGTTGAGGAGGGGTCGGGAGGATTGAGGAGTGACAGCTGAGGAGGAGACGGGAGCATTGAGGAGTGACGGTTGAGAAGGGGACAGGATTGTTCAGGAGTGACGGTTGAGGAGGGGACGGGACTTTTCAGGAGTGATGGTTGAGGAGGGGACGGGAAGATTGAGGAGTGACGGTTTGAGGAGGGGACAGAAGAATTGAGGAGTGACGGTTGCAGAGAGGACAGAAGAATGCATGAGTGACGGTTGAGGGGGGGGGGGGTGGGTGAGATTTGAGGAGTGATGGTTGAGGAAGGGACAAGTGGATTGAGGAGTGACAGTTGAGGAGGGGATGGGAGAATTGAGGAGTGATGGTTGAGGAGGGGATGGGAGAATTGAGTAGTGACGGTTGAGGAGGGGATGGGAGAATTGAGGAGTGACGGTTGAGGAGGGGATGGGAGGATTGAGGAGTTATGGTTTAGGAGGGGACGGGAGAATTGAGGAGTGACGGTTGAGGAGACGGGATTGTTCAGGAATGACGGGTGAGGAGGGGACGGAAGAATTGAGGAGTGACGGTTGCGAAGAGGACGGGAGAATGCATGAGTGATGGTTGAGGGGGGGGGAAGCTTTGAGGAGTGATGGTTGAGGAGGGGACGAGTGGATTAAGGAGTGACAGTTGAGGAGGGGATGGGAGAATTGAGGAGTGACGGTTGAGGAGAGGTCAGGAAAATTGAGGAGTGACGGTTAAGGAGAGGACGGGAGAATTCATGAGTGACGGTTGAGGAGGGGACGGGATAATTGAGGAGTGACGGTTGGGGAGGGGACAGGAGAATTGAGAAGTGATGGTTGAGGAGGGGACAGGAGAATTGAGGAGTGATGGTTGAGGAGGGGATGGGAGAATTGAGTTGTGATGGTTGAGGAGTGGATGGGTAGAATATGAAGAGTGACGGTTGAGGAGAGGTCGGGAGGACTGAGGAGTGACGGTTAAGGAGGGGGACAGGAGAATGCAGGAGTGACGGTTGAACAGGAGGCGGGGGAACTGAGGAGTGACGGTTGAGGAGGGAACAGGAGAATGCAGGAGTGATGTTGAACAGGGGGTGGGGGAATTGAGGAGTGACAGTTGAGGAGGGGACAGGAGAATGCAAGAGTGACGGTTGAAGAGGGGGCGGGGGAATTGAGGAGTGATGGTTGAGGTGGGGACGGGAGAATTCAGGAGTGATGGTTGAGGAGGGGACAGGAAAACTGAGGATTGTGTAAGTTGAGGGGACGGGAGATCTGAGGAGTGACGGTTGAGGGGGGGGCGGGAGATCTGAGGAGTGACAGTTGAGGGGGGGGCGGGAGATCTGAGGAGTGACAGTTGAGGGGGGGCCGGGAGAATTCAGGAGTGATGGTTGACGAGGGGACGGGAGAATTTAGGAGTGCCGGTTGACGAGGGGACGGGAGAATTGAGGGATGGTTGACGAGGGGACGGGAGCATTGAGGAGTGACGGTTGAGGCGGGGGGACGGGAGAATGCAGGACTGAGGGTTGAGGGGACAGGTGAATTGAGGAGTGACAGTTGAGGTGGGGACAGGGGCATATTTGCCGCGAGGCAAACAAGGCTTTTGCCTAGGGCAGCACTTTTTAGGGGGGCGGCACCGTGCCGCCCCCCCCCCCTTCCAACGGAAGGGACATTTAGTACAGGGGCGGCAGGGGGCTACTGTGTCTTACCTGGCTCCGGTCCCAGTCCCACGCCGATCCAGTCCAGGAAGCGTTGCTGGAGGAGGGGTAGAGAGGTCCACAGGTCCGATGCCTGGGCAGGATGACACCCTCTGCAAGCTCCGCCTCACCGGTGATTGGGCGCCAGAACTGTAGCTCAGGAAAGTAACACAGGCGGCCAATCACCGGCGAGGAGGCGGAGCCGAGCGGCAGCGCGAACATCGAGTGAGGGAGCGGCCGGCCCGGAATGAAGCAGGACAGCTGATCGCCAGGTAATGTGTCATGCAGATGGTGCTGCTGCAACCAGGTATGCTGGCTGCAGCAGCACCTAGGCTGGAACAGAGGTCAGCAAATTAACTGTCATTGGTGTCAGTGGGGGAATAGTGCCCCATCATTAGTATCAGTGGGAGGAATAGTGCCCCATCATTGGTGTCAGTGGGAGGAATAGTGCCCCATCATTGGTGTCAGTGGGGGGAATAGTGCCCCATCATTAGTATCAGTGGGAGGAATAGTGCCCCATCATTGGTGTCAGTGGGAGGAATAGTGCCCCATCATTGGTGTCAGTGGGGGGAATAGTGCCCCATCATTGGTGTCAGTGGGAGGAATAGTGCCCCATCATTGGTATCAGTGGGAGGAATAGTGCCCCATCAATGGTGTCAGTGGGAGGAATAGTGCCCCATCAATGGTGTCAGTGGGAGGAATAGTGCCCCATCGTTGGTATCAGTGGGAGGAATAGTGCCCCATCGTTGGTATCAGTGGGAGGAATAGTGCCCCATCAGTGGTGTCAGTGGGAGGAATAGTGCCCCATCATTGGTGTCAGTGGGAGGAATAGTGCCCCATCATTAGTATCAGTGGGAGGAATAGTGCCCCATCATTGGTGTCAGTGGGGGGAATAGTGCCCCATCATTGGTATCAGTGGGAGGAATAGTGCCCCATCATTGGTGTCAGTGGGAGGAATAGTGCCCCATCATTGGTGTCAGTGGGAGGAATAGTGCCCCATCATTGGTATCAGTGGGAGGAATAGTGCCCCATCATTGGTATCAGTGGGAGGAATAGTGCCCCATCATTGGTATCAGTGGGAGGAATAGTGCCCCATCATTGGTGTCAGTGGGAGGAATAGTGCCCCATCATTGGTATTAGTGGGAGGAATAGTGCCCCATCATTGGTGTCAGTGGGAGGAATAGTGCCCCATCATTGGTATTAGTGGGAGGAATAGTGCCCCATCATTGGTGTCATTGGGAGGAATAGTGCCCCATCATTGGTGTCAGTGGGAGGAATAGTGTGCCCCATCATTGGTGTCAGTGGGAGGAATAGTGCCCCATCATTGGTATCAGTGGGAGGAATAGTGTCCCCATCATTGGTGTCAGTGGGAGGAATAGTGCCCCATCATTGGTATTAGTGGGAGGAATAGTGCCCCATCATTGGTGTCATTGGGAGGAATAGTGTCCCATCTTTGGTATCAGTGGGAGGAATAGTGCCCCATCATTTGTGTCAGTGGGGGGAATAGTGCCCCGTCGTTGGTGTCAGTGGGAGGAATAGCGCCCCGTCGTTGGTGTCAGTGGGAGGAATAGCGCCCCGTCGTTGGTGTCAGCGGGAGGAATAGCGCCCCATCGTTGGTGTGAAGAGGTGGAGCCTAAAAAGAAAGGGGTGGGGTTTGCAGATAAAAGGGTGGGACAAATTTAGATGCAGGGGGGGGTGCCCGATTTTAGTCTTGCCTAGGGCAGCACAAAACCAAAATACACCACTGGGTGGGGACAAGAGAACTGAGCAGTGACGGTTGAGGAGAGGGAAGGAGAAATCCGGAGTGACAGTTGAGGAGGGGACAGGAGAATTCAGGAGTGACAGTTGAGGAGAGGAGCCGGGGACTCCTGGACCGTAGAAAGACAATTGCGTTCCTATAGAACAGCTGATCCGGGCGATGGAAGGGTTAAGCGTCATCTGAGTGAATCGGGTGAGCTCTAGGACCCGGCGGAGGGCGGGACACACCTGCTGCCACCCATCAGCGGAGGAGCCTGTATACGTGTGATGCGGACGGCGGTTGGGGCCCCTACGTGACCGCACTACATGAGGAGGTTGGGGCCCCTGCCCGTCTGTCCCTTAGGAGCCCCCCAGCCGATGACGGGCGGTGTGCTTCCTCCATGCAGCTGCCAGATGTCGCGGCGTGTGTAGTCTGATCGCTGCGACCATGGAGGACGCGTGTGAGGTCGGCGGGTCCCCGGAGGAGTTCGTGTCGGTCCGGTCCCGGAGCCGGCCCCCGGTCAGCATCCTCCTCTCCACCGTCCTGTTCTGCGCGGAGACGGCGGCCGCCTGCTGGGTGTCGGCGGAGTACAGCCGGTCGGAGGACGAGGTGTGGATGGCTCTGACCATCGTCTTCATGCTGGTCCCCTCCATCATGGTCCAACTCACCCTGACCTTCATCCACCGGGACCTGGGCCGGGATCGCCCGCTGGTACTGCTCCTGCACCTGCTACAGCTGGGACCCATCATCAGGTACTGCGGGGGCGGGGAGACTGAGAAAAGGTCTGCGGGGGCGGGCCAAACAAGGGAAGGTGCATATGTGGGAGGAGCAACTGGAAACACATTGTTCAACGCTGTCTAGAACACATTCCTAGTGGTACCCTTGCAGAGTGCACACTGCCCTCCCCCCCCCCAGTCCCCCCCCATACAGCACACGCTGCCCCCAGCATAGCACACACTGCTCCATACAGCGCACTGCCAAAAAGAGCCCATACTGCCCCATGGAGTGTACACTCCCTCACAGAGCACACAGGGTGCACACAATACCAGGGGGCTCTCCACCCCATAGAGGACACCCCAATACACAGAGCATAGAGGACACCCCAATACACAGAGCACACACAATACCAGAGGGCTCTCCACCCCATTGAGGACACCCCGATACACAGAGCACACACAGTACCAGAGGGTTCTCCACCCCATAGAGGACTCCCCAATACACAGAGCACACCCCAACACAGTACCAGAGGGTTCTCCACCCCATAGAGGACTCCCCCAATACACAGAGCACACACTATACCAGAGGGCTCTCCCACCCCATAGAGGACACCCCGATACACAGAGCACACACAATACCAGAGGGCTCTCCACCCCATTGAGGACACCCCGATACACAGAGCACACACAATACCAGAGGGCTCTCCACCCCATAGAGGACACCCCGATACACAGAGCACACACAATACCAGAGGGTTCTCCACCCCATAGAGGACACCCCCAGATACACAGAGCACACACAATACCAGAGGGTTCTCCACCCCATAGAGGACACCCCAATACACAGAGCACACACAATACCAGAGGGTTCTCCACCCCATAGAGGACTCCCCAATACACAGAGCACACACAATACCAGAGGGTTCTCCACCCCATTGAGGACACCCCGATACACGGAGCACACACAATACCAGAGGGCTCTCCACCCCATTGAGGACACCCCAATACACCGAGCACACACACAATACCAGAGGGCTCTCCACCCCATTGAGGACACCCCAATACACAGAGCACACACAATACCAGAGGGCTCTCCACCCCATTGAGGACACCCCGATACACAGAGCACACACAATACCAGAGGGCTCTCCACCCCATTGAGGACACCCCGATACACAGAGCACACACAATACCAGAGGGCTCTCCACCCCATTGAGGACACCCCAATACACAGAGCACACACAATACCAGAGGGCTCTCCACCCCATTGAGGACACCCCAATACACAGAGCACACACAATACCAGAGGGCTCTCCACCCCATTGAGGACACCCCAATACACAGAGCATACAGGGTGCACACTGCGACATAGCATGCACAGAGGAGAAAATTTCCTCCAGCTCCCCTCAGTGTAACCCTCCTAGTTGTGGCTGGATTTATCAGTAGGCAGTGTGTATGGGGGGGGGGGGGGGCCCAATCCCTGTCTTCTGGCAGCAGATCTGTACACAAGAGGCCCCCTTTGCATGCTTAGCAGGGTTAATTTAATGTAAGGTGGGTATAAGTGAGCGCTAAAGGTAAGACAGCTGCTGGGACACAAAAGGTACCAAAAAAAACAACCTCCAAAAATTCACATAAAGATAAGAGTGCAGCGCTTATAAAGATAAATAAAACACATAAAATTACATATCAAAGTGCAAAGGTGTATAACTGCAAAAACGCAGGTAAATAAAAGTTCTGATACTGTCACTAATAGAGTGACTCGATATGGTATAGGTGCTCAGTTCACAATCTCCTCAATAGGTGGAGTGGGGGATCGGTTGGATCCCTGTTGGTATATGGTGATGACCAGAAAACGATATATAGCAATATCCAAAATTAATATAAGATTGTGCACTCACCAGATGCACAATCAATATGCGCGAGAGATATGAGAGAGAACCCCTCTTAAGGTATGACTCCGGGACTCATCTGAAGCAAGGTCTGGTCTAATTCTGCGTTGTGGACCCTCAGCTGTCACGCATGGCTCTGTCTCCTATTGCTCTTGACTCTGTAGGTAATTGGAAGCTCACTCAAGAGCCCCAGAGAGAAAAGGAGGCCAGAATAGCGTGATACCGTTTGAACATGCGTGTGTTTATTCCATCCAGCAAAAAGGGTATAAAAACATAATACTGACCAGACAAGAAAGTAAGTTGGCCGCCGTAACCCCAGTGGTGCCGGCGGCAGTAAAAACGTCACTGTGCCGCAGTTCCTCCCTGACGCGTTTCGTGCAACCGCACTTACTCATAGGGGGTATGCTCTGGGCACAAGACGTGTGACAATGCATTTATATACGAAAATTTGTGCACGTGAAATAAAATGTCGAACGATTATTTCACGTGCACAAATTTTCGTATATAAAATGCATTGTCACACGTCTTGTGCCCAGAGCATACCCCCTATGAGTAAGTGCGGTTGCACGAAACCCCTGTACTGTGCCCTCCTGCCTCCCCACTGTACTGTGCCCTCCTGATTCCCCCCCTCCTGTACTGTACTGTGCCTCCTGATTCCCCCCTGTACTGTGCCCTCCTGATTCCCCCCTGTACTGTGCCCTCCTGATCCCCCCTGTACCCCCCCTGTATTGTGCCCTCCTGATTTCCCCCCCTGTATTGTGCCCTCCTGATTTCCCCCCCTGTATTGTGCCCTCCTGATTCGCCCCTGTACTGTGCCCTCCTGATTCCCCCCCGTACTGTGCCCTCCTGATTCCCCCCCGTACTGTGCCCTCCTGATTCCCCCCCGTACTGTGCCCTCCTGATTCCCCCCCGTACTGTGCCCTCCTGATTCCCCCCCCGTACTGTGCCCTCCTGATTCCCCCCCGCACTGTGCCCTCCTGATTCCCCCCCGCACTGTGCCCTCCTGATTCCCCCCCGCACTGTGCCCTCCTGATTCCCCCCCGCACTGTGCCCTCCTGATTCCCCCCCCGCACTGTGCCCTCCTGATTCCCCCCCCGCACTGTGCCCTCCTGATTCCCCCCTTTGTGTTGATTAGTTTTTGGTTTATGTTTAAAATCAATTTTATTGAAAGTCCTAATAAATGTTTCATTTTATCAAATATTTATACTTTCATTCTTGAGAATAGGTACATAAATTGGGGCAGGCTGGTAAGGGCCCCAGTGCAATACTTTGCCCAGGGGCCCATGATTAAGACGGCCCTGTTGCTTAGTGTATGGGGGGGGGGGGGGGGGGGGGGGGTTCACTGTCACGGCTTCTGTCTAGACAAAGTCACAGACTAAGGCCTTCTTCACAGGGCCGTCTAGGCGCATACAGCGAATTCCAGCTGGCGAGGATCAGCGGATTGTTGAGGCCGGAATGACAGGTGCATGTGAATCGCATCAGCCGCTCGGCTTATGTAAACCTATGGCAGGCTGACAGCGGCCCGCCGCTCTTCATATGTAGCCGCCGCACCAAATGGCAAACAAAAGATCTAATGGACCCCCCCCCCCCCCCCCCCAGCCCTTATTAGAGCATTCGAATTTGGAATGGTCACAAAGGCTTTAAGGCCTCCTGGATGGCAAAGGGTTAAAGAAGCGAAATGACAGTTCCCAGCAACTTATACACGAGTCATGATAGGCTGATTGCTAGTAACTGTTTTATGATAAAAGCACCCAAATGACATGTCTCTGTGGCCTCCTCCGTGGACGTGGGTTGACCAAAACATCTGCATGGAAAGACTTCTTTTAAGAACCAAACGCTTTTCCTAAGGACTCTGTTGGGGCCGGTTCACACTATAGAAACGTAGTACCAGATGCGTTCCGGGTGCGTTTTTGCATGCACGTATTTAATGCGTTCCAGTGTGGGTTTTTTTTTTTTTTTTTATATGCATTCCAGTTAATTTTTTCCACTCTTTTTCTTCAATTGCATTTTAGCGCATTCCAGTACAGTTCTGTGTAGAAATAATGCAGCCTGTTCTACTTTTTTTTTTCTGCAACCAGAACTCACTGGAACTGCAAAAACTGATGTGCATTGACATGGACAACCACATAACCTACACACATAGTGTGAACCGGCCCTGTGCTGTGCCCTCCTGAGTCCCCCTGTGCTGTGCCCTCTGTGCCCTCCTGAGTCCCCCTGTGCTGTGCCCCCCTGAGTCCCCCTGTGCTGTGCCCCCCTGAGTCCCCCTGTGCTGTGCCCCCCTGAGTCCCCCTGTGCTGTGCCCCCCTGAGTCCCCCTGTGCTGTGCCCCCCCTGAGTCCCCCTGTGCTGTGCCCCCCCTGAGTCCCCCCCTGTGCTGTGCCCCCCTGAGTCCCCCTGTGCTGTGCCCCCCTGAGTGCCCCCTGTGCTGTGCCCCCCTGAGTCCCCCTGAGTCCCCCTGTGCTGTGCCCTTCCTTCCTACCCCTGTACTGTACCCCTCCTTTGTTTTTGTGCGTTATGGCCAATAGATGCAGCTGGTGGTCATAGGAAGTATACATATAAGAACCATTATGGGGATTATTCCTAAAACAAAACTGTTGGGAGTTCCCAGATATGGAGCATATGTAGCAATTCACAAACAGAGAGCAGGCAGCCCCGCTCCTCCCCAATGGTACACCATTACACCAGAAGCCTAGACATTGACTATATACAGTATAAATAAACACTGCAGTATGACATCACCCAGCACTGCGGGATAAATCCATTTCCCTGGGGGGGGCTGTGCACCACATCGCAGATCTTTGTGTGCGTGCATGTGCTTCCTGCAAATGTGATTACATCACTGCACTAATGGCCCCACCCTATGCCTTTCGGCAGACTTCCTCTGGAGCATCTGACATAAGAAAATCTTTGTGCATGCTTCCTCTATGTGTGATGACATCACCATGCTCATGGCTCCTCCCTATGCCTTTTTTCTGACTTCCTCAGGGGCATCAGACCAGAGAGAGGCTGTATGCTTGCTTCGTGTGAGTGTGTTCACACCATCATTCTTATGGTCCCACCCTATGCCTGTCATCAGACTTCCTCAGGAGCAGCTGACCCAAGAAAGTTCATGTGCATGCTTCCTCTAAGTGTGATGACATCACCATTCTCATGGCCACACCCTATACCTTTCAGCAGACTTCCTCTGGAGCATCTGACCTGAGACTGTGTGCATGCTTCCTGTGAGTGTGATGACATCACCACCCTATGCCTTTTTATCCCAGACTTCTTCAGAGGCATCTAACCAGAGAGAGCCTGTGTGCATGCTTCTGTGAGTGTGATGACGTCACTACTCTCATAACCCCACCCTCTGCCTTTCAGCACAGACTTCCTCAGGAGCAGCAGACCCAAGAAAGTTCATGTGCATGCTTCCTCTAAGTGTGATGACATCACCATTCTCATGGCCACACCCTATACCTTTTGTCACAGACTTCCCCAGAAGCAGTCCACCCCTGATGAAGTTTGTGTGTACTTCCTGTGATTGTGATGACATCACCATTCTCATGGCTCCGCCCTATGCCATTCATCACAGACTTTCTCAGGAACAGTCCACCCCTGACAAAGTTTGTGCATGCTTCTTTTGATTGTGATGACATCACCATGCTCATGGCTCCACCCTATGACTATCATCCCAGACTTCCTCAGGAGACTCTGCCTCTTAGGAAGCCTATGGGCAAGCTTCCTCTGGGCGTGATAACATCACCATGTACGTGGTCCTACACTATGCCTTTTATCACAGACCTTTTTTTTTTTTTTTTTTTTTAGGTCTGTGACAACGTGAATGGTGGGGCTACAAGCACTATATTATTACCCTGACAGGATGCATGCACACAGATTTCCTCGGGGTCAGATGCTCCTGAGGAAGTCTAAGTTTTTAGGGTGGGGCATGAGTACAGTGATGGCATTAGGCCAATGAGATGTGTGCACACAGACTTCCTCAGGGTGGATGCTCCTGAGGAAGTCCTTGACACAACGTGTAGGGTAGGGCATAAGCACGGTGATGTCATTACACTGGGGGGATGCGTGTACACAGACTTCCTCAGGGTGGATGCTCCTGAGAAAGTCCGTGATGCAACGCACAGGGTAGGGCATGAGTATGGTGATGTCATTACACTGATGGGATGTGTGTACAGACTTCCTTGGGGTGGATGCTCCTGAGGAATCCTTGATACAACATGTAGGGTAGGGCATGGTGATGTCATTACACTGTGAGGAGGCATGTACTCACAGAGGCTCCTGAGGAAGTCTGTGACAAAACTTGTATGAACCATATATGAATATAAATCGGTGCATTTTTCATTCACAATTTGACACATTTACTGCACTTTTCATTGTTCTTCACAGCGCTCATGTGGCTGAGGCCTTAATGTTTGTCTTTCACTAACACAAAAATGTTTCTGTTCCGCTGCCCCCTAGGTGTGTGGAGGCGTTAATGATATACTGTCAGATGGGTCGTGAGGAGGAACCCTACGTGAGCATCTCCCGAAAAAAAAGCATCTCCGCGGCTGGGGGGTGTTTGAAGAAGAAGAACGAGAGGTGGGACACACCCTGCGGAGAATGGCCACGCATCGGAATGCCTTCAAGCGTACGGCTGTCATTCAAGCTTTTCTCGGCTCCACCCCACAGCTCACCCTTCAGTTGTATGTCACCGTCCTGCAGAGATACGTACCCACCGCACGAGGTGAGACACTGACCAGTCTAAAGCTCATTGGGTTGCAGCTACTAGAATTGATTGCCGTGCACATAGTTGACTGTTAAAGCGGAACTCTAAACCCAATCCAGTCCTGAACAGCCCTGTCTGACAGGGAAGGGATTTCTGATATTTCTCTACTGCAGTTTCCCTTTTATTTTCAGGTCCCTTCCCCATCCTGTGACCGGACAGTGAAAGGAGAAGCAGCAGGCTAATGAGCTCTTCTATTGGTCACTCTGCTTTCTCCTCCTGTCCGCATGCTTCTTTCACTGCAGCTGCTTGTGTTGCTTCTCCCTTGCCCAGTGTGACTTGGTATCAGACTTGTGCAGCAGAGCTCAAACAGTAGATACCCTGCATGCATGGAAAAAAAAAATAATTTTAATGATGTATTATGATGGCAGAACTACCTTTTTAACCACTTGCCACCGCCACCTGTCAGCCCTATAGGAGGGTCTTAACTCCTGGAGGCAAAGGTGGGCTTCCAGATCATGTAATTGGCTGACAGTGGATGCATGGTGAGGAGCACCCAATCAAAAACAACGACCGAGAGCTGTTCGTGAAGAGTGAACATGCCCTCAACACGGCATTGCGCGCCAACCCCCCCATGCAGCACTTGTGTGTTAAGAACCCCCCTCCGTCCTACCGCCGCATATATGTGTATGGGCCATCGGGACCAGGTTAATTCAGAGGTGAGGTCCATGGCCATCGGGACCAGGTTAATTCAGAGGTGAGGTCCATGGCCATCGGGACCAGGTTAATTCAGAGGTGAGGTCCATGGCCATCGGGACCAGGTTAATTCAGAGGTGAGGCCATGGCCATCGGGACCAGGTTAATTCAGAGGTCAGGTCCATGGCCATCGGGACCAGGTTAATTCAGAGGTCAGGTCCATGGCCATCGGGACCAGGTTAATTCAGAGGTCAGGTCCATGGCCATCGGGACCAGGTTAATTCAGAGGTCAGAGGTCCCATGGCCATCGGGACCAGGTTAATTCAGAGGTCAGGGTCCCATGGCCATCGGGACCAGGTTAATTCAGAGGTCGGGTCCATGGCCATCGGGACCAGGTTAATTCAGAGGTCAGGTCCATGGCCATCGGGACCAGGTTAATTCAGAGGTCAGGTCCATGGCCATCGGGACCAGGTTAATTCAGAGGTCAGGTCCATGGCCATCGGGACCAGGTTAATTCAGAGGTCAGGTCCATGGCCATCGGGACCAGGTTAATTCAGAGGTCAGGTCCATGGCCATCGGGACCAGGTTAATTCAGAGGTCAGGTCCATGGCCATCGGGACCAGGTTAATTCAGAGGTCAGGTCCATGGCCATCGGGACCAGGTTAATTCAGAGGTCAGGTCCAAGGCCATCGGGACCAGGTTAATTCAGAGGTTAGGGTCCATGGCCATCGGGACCAGGTTAATTCAGAGGTCAGGTCCATGGCCTGCTGGGAACTGATCCGCATAGCAGGAATTCACATGGGAGCGGGGAGCTGCCGGATCGCTCAACCGCTCTGGCAGCTTTCGGTTTCTAACTGCAGTAGGGGGCAGTGAGGTGCGCAATTCGGCGCATCACACAGCTCCCCCTTTTCTTCTTCTTCTTCTTTTTTTTTTTTTTTTTTTTTTTTTTTGTACAAACTTTATTTGAAGTGTAAAAAATGTAGACTTCATTCATGGCAATGTACAGCAGTGAGATTTGTTGCACAGGTGCGCTGCGATAAAATGCAATATATCGCAGCACGTTGCAGCGCAGCCATAGTATGAATGAGACACACAGACTGCATTGAGACAATGACTACTTATGTTCTAGCACAGGGGGCTCCAAGCTATGACCCCCCAGCTGTTGAAGTACTACAAGTCTCATCATGCCTCTGCCTCTGGGAGGTCTTGCCTGTGGCTTTCAGTCTTTCAAGGCCTCATGGGAGTTGCAGTTCCTCAACACCTGGTGGGTTATAGTTTGGAGACCCCTGATCTAGCACAATATCCAAACCCCACCCCCATGCCCCGCCCTCTCCAGTCCCTTGAAAATTGTCTTCCATGAAACTGGTCCCTGGTGCTAAAAAGGTTGAAGACGGCGGAGTTAATCGGCCTGGAGTTTAGCTTGTTGTATTCCCGAGGATCCTTCCATGAAGGTCTTTGTCCAGGGACTTCCTGTTATAGGGTGACAACACTTTGTCCCTGCCTTGACATTGTGCTCTTGAGTTGTCACCTTGGCTGTTTCAGTTACACAGGCGTGGTCCACTGTTGTCCTCTCTGAAAAATGTCATGCAGCTGTCGCTGGAGTGCATGGAGATAGGAAGTGGCTGCAGGAGATCAGGATGCAACCAAGGATGAAAAAAAAGGGTGAAAACAGATTAACCGCTTGCCGACCGCCTCATGTGCGGCCGCAGAGTGTCTCTCCTGTGCCGGATCACGTATCTAGTATGTGATCTGGCACTCCTGGGTGGGGGGGGGCGCGTGTGCGCTGCTGGCGCACCAGCTGCGCTGTGATCACACAGCACAAGCCGATCAGCAGGTGCCAGCCAATGATTGACCGCTGGCACCCGCTGATCTGCGAGGAGGAAGACAGAACAGAGCTCTGTCAATGTAAACAATACAGAGCTGTCTCCTGTCATCAAGGGAAGTATCAGGTTTTTGTTTCCCTGCAAAGCAGAGGCTAAAAAAAAAACAGCACATCCCTTACACCCCGGTCACACCAAACTCGACATTGAAATCGCGCAACTTACAGCGAAGTCGCACGATTTCAAAATGGGGGTAAATGCCGATTTCAGGTGCGATTTGCAAGATGTGACACGGATGTCTACGCAAATCGCACCAAAAATAGCGCATGTTCTACTTTGGATATCGGTACGGTTCAGACCAAGTCAGAACCGCGCCGGTATGATAGCTGTAATTGCGGACAATAGGGTGCAAGTTGACATGCGACTTGCAAGTCGCATGGCATGCAAATCGCATGCCAATTCGAATCCAATGTGACCGGGGGCTTAGTGAAAGCAACTCACAGTACCAGGGGCGAACTGACAACTCATGGGGCCCCTGTGTCCTCGCCCTCACTCAAACCACACCCAAAAAAGCCTATGAAAAGATACCATGGGCATCTCATGGGGCCCCCTACTGACCCAGGGCCCTCGGGCAGTGCCCGAGTTCCCAAATGGTCAGTCCACCCCTGCACAGTACTCACATAGCCATGTTAGGTGAACATTTTAACCCTCTGATCGCCCTAGATGTTTAACCCCTTCCCAGCCAGTGCCCTAGTACAGTGAAAGTGTATATTTTTAGCACCGATCACTGTATTTGTGTCACTGGTTCCCACGAAGTGTCAGATTGCCCTCCGTACTATCACAGTCCCACTATAAGTTGCTGATCATTGCCATTAATATTTATTTAAAAAAAAATAGTTTGTAAATGCTATAACATTCTCACAAACCAATCACTATATACACTTATTGGTTTCTTTGGGGTTGTTTTGGGTTTTTTTTTGTATCAAATACATGTAGCAGAATACATTGTGGCCTAAATTTTAATGAAGAAATTCGATTTTTTTTTTTTTTTTTTCAGCAGAAAGTAAAAAAATGTTTAATTTTTTACAAAAAAAAATTTTTAGGCCCATTTTTTTATTTTTTTAACCACTTGACCTCCAGAGGATTTACCCCCCTTAATGACCACGCCTCTTTTTGCTACTCGGCGCTGCACTAATTCAACTGATAATTGCGCGGTCATGCAATGCTGCACCCAAAGGAAATTTCCGTCCTTTTTTTCACACAAATAGAGCTTTCTTTCGGTGGTATTTGATCACCTGTGCGCTTTTTATTTTTCACGCTATAAACAAAAAAAGGCCAAAAATTTTGAAGAAAAAGATATTTTTTACTTTCAGCTATAAAAAATATATAGTAAACTCAAAGTTGGTTATAAATTTAGGCCGAAATGTATTCTGCTCCATGTTTTTGGTAAAAAAAAAATCCCAATAAGTGTATATTGATTGCTTTGTGTGAAAGTTATAGCGTCTACAAACTATGGTATAAATACTGCAATTTACGTCATTTTTTTTGCTATACAGCGCTGCGCTAGTTTAATGGACAATTGCGCGGTCATGCAATACGGTACATAAATTAAATTTACATCCTTTTTTTTTTTTCCTCACAAATTGAGCTTTCTTGGGGTGGTATTTGATCGCCTGTGCGGTTTTTATTTTTTGCGCTATAAAAAAAAAGGCTGACAATTTTGAGGAAAAAAACTATATTTTGGACTTTTTGCTATAAAACATGTCCAGTAAAAAAAATTTAAAAATCAAATTTAGTCATAAATTTCTGCCAAAATGCATTCTGCGACATGTCTTTGCTAAAAAAAAAAAAAAAAAAAACACAATACCTGTAAATTAATTGGTTTACGTGAAAGTTATAGCGTTTACAAATGGAGGGAAAGATACTGGGATTTTTTTTTTGTTTTTTTTTTATACTAATAATGGCGGCGATCAGTGACTTATGGCGGCAATCAGCGACTTATGGCGGGACTGCGGCGGACATTCTGACATTGGGGGGTACTGACTTGGGGTCACTGACATCCCCAGTGACACCAATACAGTGATCAGTGCAAAAAAAAAAAAACACTGACACTGTACTAATGGCACTGGGGAGGAAGGGGTTAACTGTGTGAGGGGAGTGTTTTACTAGGGGACGGGGGGGGGGGGTGTACTGCAGGGAACACCGCTGATTGGGAGAGAGAAACTCTTCTGTCCCGATCAGCATGTCCTGGAGCTGTCAGGGAACTGACAGAAAGCACAGCTACTGCAGCTGTGCTCTCTGTCAGCGATTGCCGCTGATCGCCGGGACATAGCCGGTAACGACCGGCTGTGACCCGGCGACTGACATCCGCAGCTGTGATCTGCGGGACAGGTAGGGCGGCGCCCCCTACCTGTTTTCAAAACACTCATTTAAAACGTGCTTTTGCCCAGCCGTGCCGCCCTGCCACCGTATTTCTACAGTGGCTGGGCGGCTTTAAACGTTGAA